ATATATATATATATATATATATATATATTATAAATTAAGTGATATAAAATATGTTTTTTCGCTACACAGTAATAACCATGTTTCAAAAATGGAAGCTAAAAACTTCAAATTTAACTTTAAAATTAAATCAAAAGCATTAGTTCCATTTCATCTTCAAGCGAATATTTGGATGTAAATTTACATTGAGCACTTTTTGTAAAAATAAAAATAAAACTAAAAAATATCAGCAAGAACACCGGGTTATGTATCTTACTGTACTTCCTTTTATATATACATATACATATATATATGCGCGTGTGTGGGGGGTGCGATGGATAAATTGTCGCGCACATGCGTTGTTTGTTTTTGACGACTTTACATTACAGTTGGGCACCGTTTTTTTTTTAGTAAAAAAGCAACTCGAGGCTATTCACTCTGCCATAAATTTGGAAATAGCATGCTCTACTGCTTAGCATTCGCACCGGAAGCTCCATTACGAACATTTCAGGGGGTCTGGGTGTCAATCTGATAACAGTGCAGAGAATTCGGAATGAGTTGGATGAGTTTAATGGTGATTACGAAGGTGTTTGGAGTGAAGACTAGTGATGGTGAGGTTATCCCCCCATTCATCTTCCCACAGGGCCTCAGATTCAACACGGAGGCCTACATCAAGTGCTTTGAGGAGGTAGTGATGCCCTGGGTCAAGAGGATGGCTTCTGGAAGACCCTATATCTGGTAACAGCAACCACATCACACCTTACATCTGCTCATCTAATTACCCAGACTGCAACCCCTTTGAATATTATGTGTGGGGCGCAAGAGACAAACAAAATGACTTGTAATAACCAGAGATGAACTGAAGGCAAGGCATATGGCAACATTCACCAAATTAAGCAAGTAGACCGTCCAGAAGAGTTGCAGGAGATTCTGAAGTCGTGTGGAGGCCGTGGTTGATTCCAATGGTGATTTTATTGAATATATTTACTCTTGAGTATTTCAAGAAATTGTTGTGTAATTTTGGTAAATATATCTGTTAAAATGACACGTCAGTATTAATTTCATTTTTGCACAAATTAAACGACAATTTATCCATCGCACTCTGCATATGTATGTGTGTGTGTGATAAAAATATAGTTTTTAGGCAGGCTATATTTATGGGTAAAGGTGCCCAATATCAAGAATATTGCGTATGCAAATATAAATGTGGACACCAAGCGGCGACAGTCTGTTTCATGCTTGAACACAATCTTCAGGCTAATATCCTGTTAATTCCCCTCTGAAAGTTCAACACTGCCTTAACCGGGTATTGAACTCACTCTCTTTGGGTCCTGTCATTGGATCTAACCAACGCCTTTATCCACTGTGCCACATGTCCTTGAGAACAGTGAGCGGAGTAAAGGGTTCAGTTCGACATTCCAACCACCTGGAGAAGGTCGAAGCGTACAACGGCCGAAACGTTGTAATAAATATGGCGACAAAGATGAGGACAATAGTCCGAATAATGGAAATAATGTTTTGGAATTGTTAATTGGAGAACCGTGTTCTAATTCCAGTTGGGTTCGTTATATTCACTTAGGCGTTAATACCCTTGAGAAAGGTAGGAATTCACCTCTTCTCTCCTCCCAGATATGGGTTAATTAGTAAGATTTGTACCCCTAAACCATTATTATCTAAAAAAAAAATTCATATTATCTAAAAATATTTTCTGGCTTTAAATAACCTGCAAATGGTTGATAAGCCGTAAAAAACAAATAAATCAATTAATGAAATACTGATTAGCAGCACAGACATTTCTTTTAGATTTATTTACAGTCTCTGGGATATAAGCGTATAAATCCTATCGTGATCACAAAGTGAGGGATCGGTTTATATATTGATTGTAATATAGAATTGATCCCCCACTTTATATCCACATTGTAAGTTGTTTGTTCATCAAATTATGATTAGATATGAATCCACCTCTTCTCCCCCAAGCTATGGGTTAATTAGTAAGACTTGTATCACTTAACCATTATTATATCCCTAAAAAATTCTTACAATCTAAAAATATT